GTAAGTACTACTACTACCTACGTACTAGTATAGTACTACGACTACACACTACTAACTAACGACGAACGAAACGAACGAACGAACGAACAATAAGTAAGAGAGAGAGAGAGAGAGAGAGAGAGAGAGGCATTTTCTTTCCCCTTACAGGGCTCATCCAAACAGGGCAGATAGGTGATGCTTGAAGCAATCTGACGCATGATGGCCTGGATTTCTCTCATGATTTCCTTGTCACTTTTGGCCCTCGAAACCCTAGATTCATAAATGGAAAAGTATAAAGACCCCACCAAAAAAAACCCAATTGATTGAGGCAAGGATCTGTGTATGAATCTTGTGGTTTTGGCTTACCCTTTCTCAACCACTTCGTTATCAGTCTCTATGTTGAAATTCCATCTCTCCAACACTTCTGAAGAAGCTTTGCTCATAATAACCAGAACCACTCTTTGTAGCTTCCCTGATTCCAGCCATTCTAACGACAACAAACAAAATCGTAAGGCCTCGATTCGTGACCTTCTTCAAATTCTTTGAGAGAGAGATGGAATAGCCGGGTTTTCAAGATTGATTGCTCGCATACCAGATATTTGGGAAGTAAGACAGGCAAGAAAGGCCTTGACTGCATCGTCTTCAATCAACAACATGGGTAGTCCATATTTCTTCACCTTGACGAAGCATTCTTCAGGGTAAACCCCTCGATTATACAAAATGCTGTGAAGTTTTATTTATTTATTTATTTGAGAGACAGAAACGTGCTTTAGGGTTTGTTCTGACCTAAAGATTTACAAGTTTTTTTGCATTATGTAAACTAAATTACAGTTACCTGTTTGCTGCGTAACCTGTTAACATCAAATTGAAAATGCATCAGCAGGAGAGAGAGAGAGAGAGAGAGAGAGATTGATGGGGCGTTGGTTACCAAAGAACTCGCTGACGATTGCTGCCGATCCTTTGAGGGTGATGACATCCTTGGTTGCAGTTTTTGAAGCCATTTCTCTTTGCGAATCGCAGTCACAGCGACGAGAGAGAGAGAGAGAGAGAGAGGAGGTTGTTTGTTGTAGGTAAGGTAAGTAGGAGTAGAGGAGGAGAGGTAGGGAGGGAAGGAAGAGTAGAGTATTAGTTAGGTAAGGAAAAGGGAAAAGGAAGGTAGGTAGGTAGTACGTTTA